TTCACCACCGAGCACTGAACCATTGTGCCATCAAGGCTCCTTATATTATGTAATATAAAAAGCGTCCACTTTTTGAGCATTGACTGTGTGCCATGTTCTAAAACAATGGGAGCCGTCATGAACAAGCCTTCGTTATGTGCACACACGGTCTCATTGAACAGATGATGAGAAGGTTCTCCGGGCACTGCAGCCTACAAGCTTTCGTATAAGAATCTGTAGGGTTGCCTCTACAGCCATACCACCCTGAACGCGCCGATCGCGGAAGCTAAGCAGGGTCGGGCCTGGTTAGTACTTGGATGGGAGAATCCTTACGGTTTCCATCATGCTGTTTGGTGCACAGAGCCAGGCACCGCAATATTCTACTTGATTCCGTAACACACACATGAATCTTTTTCCGCTACTTGAAATGCTTTATGAGCCATATACGTTAGAAATGAAATGTAAACAGGTCCCTGTTCAGGTGTGCACACATACACCTGTACACACACACACACACACACACACTCACCTTCCTGCCTCAAGAGCTTTACTTCTATTTTAGCATGTGATTCTCAACAGCACCCCCAAGTTGGTATGATGGTTATCCTGATTTTACAGTCGACCAAAGTGGGCCGAGGCAATGCCAGGAGCCCTGGTGGCACAATGATGGAGTACCCCGCTGCTAACTGCAAGGTTAGCAGTTCAAAACCATTCAGTGACTCCTTCAAAGAATGACCTAGTGATAACTTCCGTAAGGATTATACTCAGAGAACTCCATGGGGGCAGTTCTTCTCCATCACCTGGAGTTGCTATCCATCAGAACTGACGCAGTGGCAGCCAGCGTTAGATATCTTGCTTGAAGTCACGTCCGTCTGTGGGAAGCAGTGGTGAGTGCCCACCCACATGTACTGGGCGTGCGACTGTCTTCCAAGTGGGCTCAGCTGGCCACACTTCAGTCCAGGAAAACTCTTCTCCACGAATGTCGGGGATTGGGCCTTCTAAGTGTGACACTCCAGAAAAATCTCCCCTGGGGTTGAAAATGAATGCATATTGCCAAAGTGGGATTAAGTGGGTAATATCTGTGCTTCCCTTTCCTCGTCCATAAATTAAGGCTGAAGATAATACTTAGTTGTAAGTGTGTAAGGAGGATTTAATGAGATAACATATAAGTCATCAAGACAGAGCCTGGCACATTTTTCCCTGGGTGGGTGGAGGAGGAGCTTCATGGATTTTCCTTCGCTGACCTTGTTACAGGGGCTCATGTTGTTCCTTCCCCTCCTCACCTCTTCCAGCACTGTGCTGCAGACTCAAGACGGGAGACTTCTGGAGACGTAGGGAGGAGCCCTTGTGGCTTAGTGGCGGCACGTGGGGCAGCGGGCTCCAAGCACTTGGATACCACCTGCTGCTTCTGGTGAGGCAGACAAGGCTTTCTACTCCCCTAGCGCGTGCCAGGATCGGAACCCCCAGGGCAGTTCGACCAGCCCGATAGGGTCGCTGTGAGCTGGAATTGACTTGATGGTGGTGAGAGATTTCGTGCGAGGGGCATTCTCCCGGAGCACCAAGAGGACCAGTCGTCAGTCAGCCTCCTCGCCTGGACCCAGGGCCAGCTCCACCTCGCCGTCCACTCTCCCCAAGCCTCCTCCTGCCCTGTCTCAGTTGGACAGAATGAGAGAAGGGCGTGGGGAAAATGGCTCCCCACAAAAACAGCCCCCTGAAAGTAAAAGAAGGGAAGATCTATGAACCTGTATGTCACTGAAGAGTCCAAGTTCATTTCCGTTTAACTTTTCCTCCTTCGATTAGCCGCTCAAGACCAAGGTTTAGGCTGAGGGGGCGGAATCTGGAGGCTCGGGAACGCTGTGGGCCTTCACTCCTTTTTTCACATTTTAACTTTCTCCTGGTTTACCAAGAAAGGCATGTTCTGTGTAGGTATACAGCCATACAACCCAATAGGGTAGGGGGCTTGGGGTTTGGGTTTGGTTCCCTCCCCCTCCGCCCCCTCCCTCCATAGTGCCCTGCCCTTCCTCTCTCCCTGTTCCCCCCACCCTCTCGTCCCTGGTCTCCTCTAGTCCTTAAAATCTTATCCTTTGGGAGAAGGGGCACTGGGACCAGGCCAACACGGAGAAGCAGCGGCTGGAGGAGAAGCAGCGCCTGTCGCGGCGGCGGCGGCGGCTGGAGGCCAACTCGCGGGGCGGCCACTTCAGCGGCCTGGAGGACGCGGAGAAGGAGGCGGAGGTGTACACGCCGCTGTGGTTTGAGAAGAGGCTGGATCCGCTGACCGGGGAGACGGCCTGCATGTACAAGGGCGGCTACTGGGAGGCCAAGGAGCGGCAGGACTGGCACATGTGCCCCAACATCTTCTGAGCGCCGCCT